ATGAAATGGGTCACTACGCGGCACTGCAAAATATGATTACATATTTATCATACAGCTAGATAATGAGCTCATGGTGTGTCGCCATCCACATTGCCACCGGGTAACATCACCCCGATCACATTATGAATAGGAACCTGAAAATAGTATCAATAAAATATAAATGCCTTTAAATGAATAATAGAGGTGTTTGCAGTGGTGGAGGCAGGCATGCAAGAATTAACTAAGTCATAATTCCTTTTTTTCAAATAAGATGAATTGAAAGCCGTAAGGCAAACCATGCTGTGCAGACTTGGCCACGCACCACACTTAATCAAATAAAATGGGAAAATTCTCCTCACAAAAACCACCAGTCATAACTCAAATACCTCACAGAGTCAGAGGGGCGGGCAACAGCATTGGTTTGGAGGCTATAAATCACCGTGGCAGGGGGATGGTCTGCCGTTTCTTCATGTTTCTTTATGTGAGCAACGGATGAACACACGTGCAGAAAGCTGCTTGCACGCACCAAACTGGACCTGGTAGCGTTCAGAGTTCTCAGAGCTTTCTGACACAAGGAGTGTCGTCACCCCCTGCAGTACCTACAATCAGACTGCTCTGAGATGGAAACACAGGAGAAGCAATATTGCTGAAAAGGCACATTCAAGCCAGGTGTTTTACCGCTGCATTTTTTTGTTATCGAGAAAAAAACCTGCAGATTTTATAGATTAAATGATGGGAATAAGAAAAATGCCAGCGTCTCTGCACTGCAGCTGCACAGATGGGTGCTTGTGTCAATAACAGTGAATTGGAACAAGTGAGCGACATGAATTTTTCTAGCCTCAGATTGTCAGCAGTACCTCCTGGAGCCACCATGCTGCCTAAAAAGCCTACATTACTAAGAAAGCTAAGCGCCATTTTCACAGTGTGTCAGTTAATAATTATTTGATTAATTGCACTCGTGTATAACATCACCTGAACTGACGCTTCAGGCTTGTAATGCATTAATTGTGCAAACTTCCCGGAGAGGTGTCAAAACAAATTTGTTATATCAGCAAATTTTATGTTTTAACCTTTAATGAGATTAGAACAGTATTTTTGACCACTTGTATCAAAGCGACCTTTATGCATTTTCATTCTTAGTCCATGCAGAAATAGCTTTGCATGAGTCACAGTTTAGTATAATCCTTGGTAAACATTTGGTTTGAACATCTGGTGGGAGGGTCTTCTGTACTCTCAGTGAGCTGTGTAATTACCATATTAGGGAAATCCACTCTCTGTGACATTTTTCTCAATAACATTCTTAAGTTATCTATGTTTACGTCAGATCACTTTTGCAAATATTTGATGTCTAGATAAATCGCGCAGCTATTTGAAGTTTACACAGCTACAATTTTACCTGAAAACATCTTAAAAGTTTATTTCGTGACCCAGAAAGAATAATATTAAAACTAAATAGCTGCCGCCATTGTTGGAAACTGGAATTGGCTGGGCCGCGCTATGAATTCTGGGACAGGTTGGGCCACGAAGGACACACCCAACCTATCCTTCAAATCTGGGGAAAAGGAGGACACATTTGTCGGATGCATTTGGAGAAGTCTTTGAATTTGGACAGCCTTGCATCGCTGTCACGTAATCGGCCAACAAATGCTGGACACAAACAAACGCTAGACTGCTGCTTCTTCTTCTTCTTTGGTGTTTAACGGCAGCTGGCATCCTTGTTAGATGCATTGCTGCAATCTTCTGCTTCAGTCCTTTATTACACTCTTAAATCCTACTACTTAATCCTGCGTCTTTCAGGATCTTACAAAGCTTCAAATGACGCGTTGACTATTAAATTAGTCGTCGACAATTTTGATAGTTGACATAATCGTGACTAGTCGACTAATCGTGGCAGCCCTAGACATCATACGGAGCCAAGAGTTGAATAAATTGTCTAAAACAGAGTTTTTAAACCTTAATACAACTTCACCAATGTTGCAGCATAAATGTGACAGAAGCATACCATGTTCTCTTTAAAGAGAAATGATTCATTAAACAACTGCCAATTTCTTCTCTGAGATATTAAAATTAGCATCTAACTGCACAGAGGAGTGTGCAATAAAACAAAGGAAATAAATTAAGGAATACACCACACATACATATTACTCATAAAAACAAATTCCCACTCCCATTGTCTGTCCACTGTGTGTATAATAAGTAATCTGCACCGTGCAGATGGCAGCCTTGGAATACTTTGCCTAGAGGCTCAGAAACAAACCAGTTCTCCTCTGCAGGGATATTATCCTCCATCTATAATGTTAGTAGATCTGCCACAGTGCATATGTGGTTAAAGTGACAACTGTTGCCAACCTAGTCTTCTTTGGTGATTTAGTGAAGGGAGCACAGATGAGAATCTGCACCTCCAAGTCTGAGACCATGATCCTCAAGCAGGTGGAGTGCCCACTCTGGGTCAGGGATGAGTTACGCCACCAAGTGGAGGTGTTTAAATATACGGGTGTTGTTCAGGGAGCGGGAGATTGACAGACAGATTGGTGCTGCGGCTGCAGTGATGCGGGCACTGTACCGGTCCTTCGTGGTGTAAAAAGCAATCAGATACTGGTAGATCTTCATCCCTACCCTCACCTAAAGTTGTGAGTTTTGGGTAGTGACCAAAAGAACGAGATCGTGGATACAAGCAGCGGAAATGAGCATCAAAAGGAGCCAGATGAGGTGGTTCAGGCATCTGGCAAGGATGCGTCCTAGGTGAGGGAGGAAGCCCCGGGGCAGACCCGGGTCACGCTGGAGAAATTATCTCTCTCGGCTGGCCTGGGAAAGCCAATGCATTTATAGTTGCTCCTGCAACCCGGCCCCAGATTAGCAGAAGAAAATGGATGGATGGATGGAAACCTTACAAAAACTAAGAAACATATAAAAGGGGATTTAACTCATTAACAATGCATTTCCAAGCATCTTTCTACTTTGTCACTAAATGAAACATCCTTCAAAGTAATTGGTACCATCAGGAAAAATAAATATTTAACATCTCTTAAGGCAAACCTTTAAATACTACATATTGTATGTAGTATTTAAAGTGACGCTCAATTAAATTTAGCCTCTTCTCAATTTACCCATTGACCTCTATTAAAACACTGTCCTTCATATCCTAACATCCCAGAGGGCTCAGCAATGAGCCACTACCTAAAACAAGTCCCAAGACAGACAATAGAGGGCCACTAATACTAATCCACCGCTGAGGCCGTCTTCCTGTCTGCTTCCTGTTGTAAGCCTCACAGGAGGGAAGTGAGGGTCTGCTCTTATTGCGAGGGGCATTGTGAGTCTTCCTCTATAAGTTCCTGTCCCGGACAATGGGACAGTGCTGGACTCTGGCCGCACCTCAGCACTGGGACTGTTTATGTGAAGTAGATTTTGTTTTTATTGGTTCAACCCATATTAGGAAATTCACAGGCTGGTTTTGTTTTGCAATTGCTAATTATAAAAAGGTCCCTTGAGTTTTACTAATTTGAGCGTCTGTTGGGTATGATACTTTAATGGGTTCTAATATGAATGTAAATAAATTAGATTTTAGTTCCTGTAATCATAGTTAAAAACCTAAATTTGATTGACCACATTTTTCTTCAGAAAATAAGGGGGAAAATAGCTTTTGTCCTGAGGACTTACACATTTGTGGCTCATCTCACCTTGTTTTTGTATTCTGTCGTACAAAAATTGTACCTACATTTTTATTGATATGTTTAAAAAAACAGTAGGCTTTGACTTCGCTGTCTCTTAGTGAAGGCAACACAAAAGAACTAATGGTAGCTACAGGTAAAGTAATAAGCTAGCTGCAGCTATTTTTAACCCTTAACACTGTCTCCCTGAAAAAATATCAGGTGGAGAATCAAAATTTAGATTATTTTATGTGCAGAACAAAAGTAGTAAGAAATAATAATAGATATTTTTTCATGATATGGGGAAAAAAACAACTAAAAGGCTTAGTATAGTAGCTACAGGGTAGCTGCTAGCTTAATTTTCACAACAAGTTAGCATAGTTTTGTGGTATTTTCATAAAATAACTCACTATACCGTGGTAAATAACTGCCATTAACCACCCTACAGCATTAGTTGTATATAAATCTTTAATCTGGGGTGGCTGTGGCTCAGAAGGTAAAGCAGAAAGCTTGGTGGTTTGATCCCCATCTGCTCCAGTCTGCATGCTAAATATCCTTGGGCAAGAAGCTAACCCCAAGTTGCTGAATTTTAGTTAGAAAGCACTTAGATAGGAAAAGCATAGAAAAGTGTTTGTATAAATGGGTGATTGAGGCAAGTTGTTTAAAAGCATTTTAAGCTCTCAGAGTAGATAAGCGCTTTATAAGAACCAGTCCATTTACCAATCGACATATCATCTTTAAGAATACAACCACAAACTAAGCATTAATAGTTTCTCCTCACCAGTTTATATTAATTTTATGTCAAATGTTCCACAAGCGTGAACAAACTGATCAACTATTGAACCAAACAAATTTACCCAACAGTTCCATCTTCTTTAAAGGGTCAAAAAAAAACCAAACTTCAACACAAGAATGTTTTGTTCCTTCATTCAGGGATTGCTGGATGCTAGTTTATCAGATTTCACTATGAATAAGAGATGTCAGCTGTGCTGGAGAGGCACGCTCCAATGAATAATGCAGACTGGTTTATTTTTTCTCTGTCGAGTGTCCCCATAAAATGCACAGAAGTGGTACATATGAGTGAACAATATTCAGACCAGATGTGAGCATGGTCTCAGTGGTACAGTGAAGTTCAAACTGAGGAACACTCTCTTTCCACAGAGATACAAGGATGCTTTCAGTCTGAGATCAGACTCTGAAAATTAAAGCAAATGTGACATAATTTCAATCCCTCTAACCTATTCTGAGCCTTCAAATGTGGAATTATTGCAGTAATTATCGCTACATTACCTAAAGATATAAATGTGAGTAACTCTAACCCATGACGATAATGAATGATGAATGACAGTTAAAAATAAGGACAAATTTACTCACCTGTATCCACTCCCGCGTGTTGTCATCTGAGGGTGTCCAGCCATTTTCCTGGTAGTTGAGGCGGGAACGTTCAGGGGACCAGTTGGAGTTATACTGGGAGGAAGCGGTGATCTGGTCAGAGGAAATTTCTCCAGACTCCATGCCCAGTGGCTCCATACAAGCAAAATCTGACGAGACAAAAAAGACAGAAATCCTTCAGATAAAAAGCTCCACAGCACAGGTATACATCAAAACACCCCCAACGAGAAAATAATCATCAAGTTACTGTTGTGAATCAAGAGACACATTAATTCTTTTGCCTATAAATTATCATCAGGTTAGATGGGAAAATGTTTGTTTGTCAAAATGATACCAACGGCTTCTATAATATGAGTTTAAAAAGTCTATTACACACATCATTAGCTGGATGAACTGAATTTTTGGTATTTTGCTCTTGCATGCAGTCATTACTAATGGATGAATTTATCATTAAACTCCAGAACCGGGCTCTGAAAGTTAGAGTCATAAATCTGAGTTGGAAAAAAAAACAACTACTCAAGTTTGAGTTTGTGTCAGGCAGGAAAACAAGTGAGCCTGAGTGTGATTAGAGTGTCGCCCAGACAATGTGAAGTAGTCTGTCCCAGCTTCCTGCTGCCTGCAGAGAAGTCAGTAAGAGGTCATTACAAAGAGCTGCTGCACTGGTTTGATATGTCTATGCAGCATCCACACATTCACAGGCTATACTCCATTT